GTCGGATACATTGCCTAATAAAATTTTTACAGCTGCCATTCAAATTGTGGTCGTTAATTCCTGGGAAATACAATTCTTAATTCGCCAGAATTAGCTCTAAGTCTCGGTTCATCCCATAAAGACGAGTGTGTATTACTGCAGTTTATACAAAATGTTCAAATAGTAATATCCAATAGAATAGCCTGCATAATTCCAGCTAATTCAACGTGAGAGGTATCTGACCTACTTATACTTTTTACTGAACCGTGCATCACAGCTTTAAGATCGCCGCCGGGTCTGATCTTTCTAAATTGCCCTTTCCTGAATTATGTAAGCATTGCTTCATGCTATGCAGCTAAACACGGAATCATGTCAAAGAGGAGAATAGTTAGACTGTCCATGAAGCGGGATTCTATTTCTATTCCTACTGCTACTCGCCATTTGTTACTTCAAGACCAAGGCCTTAATCAGAGACTCTGAACCACTGTACCGAACTGCAAAAAAATCACGTGCATGTTCTTGCAGAGTTCAAACCTCATTCCATCTGCCTGGATTCCTGATGAGTGCTTTTTTAAAAAAAATTAATCAATTAAGAAATCATACTAAGATGCGAGCAGTGGCACATGACTGTAATCCCAGTGGCTTGGGAGGCTGAGGTTGGAGGATTCCAAGTTGGAGGCCAGCCTCAGTAACTTAGTGAAGCCCTAAGCAACTTACTGAGACATGGTCTCAAAATTAAAAAAAATAAAAATAAATAAAAAGGACTGGAGATGTAGCTCTGTGGTAAAGTTCCTGAGTTCAATCCCCAGTACCCTCCTTCTCGCAAAAGAAAAAGAAATAAGACTAATTACAAATATAGCACCTACTATGTGCTTTACAGAAAACTCTAAGTGCCTTTTTTCATGCTTCAAGGATGCTAGGAAGCAGGAGGTTTTATTATACTCATTTCACAGACGAGAAAACAGCAAGAGACAGACACACAAACACACACACAAACACAACATGGTCACACAGCAAGTGGCAGAGTTGAGATTCAAACCCAGAATTTGAATTTGGCTTCAGAGCCCCTTCCTTTGACCACTGTGTAATACTACATTTTATATATTTATAATAAATATGTATATGTATTATATAAATATTACACAAATATGATCACGATTCATCCTAGATGGCAAGCTGTTTTTTTTTTTTTTAAGAGAGAGAGAGTTTTTAATATTTATTTTTTAGTTCTTGGCGGACACAACATCTTTGTTGGTATGTGGTGCTGAGGATCGAACCTGGGCCGCACGCATGCCAGGCGAGCGCGCTACCGCTTGAGCCACATCCTCAGCCCCAGCTGTTTTCTTTTTCCTACAGGGTTAACAGAAGAGAAATACAGCACACGAGAAATATGTAGAGAAAAGAAAGACAAACTCGAGAATAGAGCTTAAGTTGCTTTCATAATTCGTCTCCTCTAAACATTGTTTTTCCCAAGTGTCTAAGACATGCTACTGCATCAGCAAAGGATCTAGAAAAGTCTCCAAGGATAAGACCTGCAGATTTCCTTGGTCGGGGGAGGGAGGGCAGGAATCCATCTTCTGCAAAACGCATACAGACTTGACTTCTCGATGAGACTCTGGCAAGTCTGGTCAGGCCACTTTTGGTCTCCAGAAATAATTTGTTCCTATGTCAGTTCTTGGCACCTGGCTCCAGAGGGGTGGACAGGGCCAACGTCTTGTACCTTTCCAGACCTGACTTCATTCCGGTTTGGCCACTCCCCAGCTGTGTGGCCTGAAGCAAGGACGCGATGGACCTGTGTTTTCATTTTCCTCCTTTGGGAGTGGGGACGTGTCTGTGTGTCCCGCCCAGTCCCCTGATGCTCCTCCCATGCACTGATTTCTGGGTCAGAGTTCTTGGGTCGACAGCAACAGAGACAGATGCTGACCATCGTACTCCAAGTGGGTCCAGGAAGAGACCCGGGGTGAGTCAGAAGGGAGGAGAGCTGGGCTGCCCTGAGCTGCCGGCAGACCAAGAGGTAAACCAAGATAAACCGTGTGCTGAGCACGGTGCTGCCCACACCGGACAGAGCCTCCTTCCTCCCCTCTGCCTGGCCTCCTTTTCACCCAATCCTTCATCCATCCCAGCAACTACCGTGCCTCCACTCTGGGCCGAGCACACTGAGAGCAGTGAAGGATGCTCAGATGAACAACCCGGGCCCTGCCAAGGAGCCCGCCTGCCTGCACCAGAGGATTATTTTATGTTCTTGAGAAATACCCAAATGAATCATTCATCTCTGAAATAAATGGCTAATGTCAAAACATTTACTAATGCAGACCGAGCTGCCTGAAATAAATGGCTGAATAACCCATTGTTTGAAAATCTACAAGAGTAATATATATTACGATCAGATAAATCAAAATTACAAAGGGTTCTCTGCTGCTTTTCAGAGTGCGTGCCAGAAGTCAGTCAAAGGACGGTTGGGAGGATAATAAGTTTAACAAGTGGTTGCGGGTTACCTCTAAGAATGAAGCTGGGGGTGGGCGGGGGAGGAGGGAGGGCGGATGGGGGGGGACCGCCTTCCATTGCATAATCTCCCGGACTGTTTGCATTTTCAGATTCAATTTAGGTATTTATTTTATAAAGATTAAATAACCCATTTAAATGCAATTTGGGGTGATAAAACAAACTCAGGAGGTAGGAGAGGGACTGGGTAATGTCAGTCGGGCTGTGGAAGGAGTCCCTGGGAGCTGACCAGTTCTCCTATTGTGTGTCCCCGGAAGTCTCTGGCTTCATGGACTCTGGTCCTCCTCATGACTCTTAAACCAAAGAAAACCCAAGACACCAGATCTTTGATCCTGCACAGACTTTCTTTTGATAAAGAAATGAGTGCCCCGTCCTTTCGCATTAAGTTACAAAGTAAACTTTGCCATTTGCTGACTCCCCCTCTGAGCGACATCCAGTCAGATAATCAGCAGGACCGTAAGCCCCTTTATTTTTCACTTCTTCACATACTAGTGCTTTGCAGACATTCCTTATGTCTTTATTGAACACCTACCAAGTGCTGGGTACTATTCTAGGCACTGGGCATGCGATCCTGGGCATGAGTTACAGAGCAGGGCAGCCAAAAGAAACCACTTTTCTTTATAAGTTGATTCCCTCAGGTATTTTGTTACAGTGACAGAAAGCAGACTAACATGGATTCTCACACTCACCTCTCAGAGCCACCCTGCAGCCTTCACCTTGACAGTCAGAGGCTCAGGAAGACCAGATCAAAAGGAGATTGTGTATGCTTGGCAAGACTTGTTCCCCCACCCCACCCGCCCCATCTACTCAAACATGAGGGTTTCTTTAGTGGTTAAAAAAGAAAAACTATTTAACTTGCCCCTCAGGCCTGGAATTAAGGCCATTAGAACCAACAACAGCAGGGAGCCCCTAAAGAAGAGGATTTAAAGAGCTGGGGAAAAGGCTTGCAGTGACATCATGATGCACTGTCCAGAGCAGCTGGACAGTCACAACCCCCAGCCTCCTGGCACCTCATGCTGTGGCCTCAGAAACCACATTCTCCCCTGGGTTTCTCAGCTCAGTTTAGGTTTCCCTTCTTGTTCTTTCCTCACATGGGAAAGGGGTGTCCTACTCCGTTTTGCGTTGCCCTCACTGAATACCGGATGCTGGGTGATATATAAAGAAAAGAGGTTTTTTTGACTCCCTCCTCTGGTGGCTGGAGAGGGCAAACAGCATGGTGGCGCTGTCCTGGTGAGGGCCCCCTGGTTGTGTCCCAAGGCAGTGGAGACAAGGAATGGAACCCAGTGGGGTGCAGAAGGGGCCAACCACGTGGGGTGCCCCATTTTATAACAACCCACTTTCTTGAGAACGAATTGACTCCTGTGAGACCCAAGCCACACCACAAGACCAGTGACAACGGAGTCACCTCCCGCTGGGCCTCCAACAGGTCCCCCCAGGGCCACATGGAGGACCAAGAGGGAACACTGGATAGACAAACTCCACGCAGGCAGAGTCTCAGCCTCTCTTAGGGGACATGGGAAGGGAGAGGGGAGGAGAGGGAGTCCTGACCTCTCCAGGCAGGCCAGGCCGGGGTCACCGTGTCTCAGGAGCCATCTCTGCGACCTGGGGCAGAGGGCGAAGCAGCTTCCCAAAGCCTCACCCCTGACGGCCTCCTGGTTCCAGGGCCTGGTGAAAGGCAGAGGCGCGGCCAGCTCAGGCCCCTCAAGGAGGCCCAGGATCCTTGTCCCAGAGTTCTGAGAGGCGGCCTTTGTCAGTGCCATGCCACGTCCACCGATGTTTCTCTTCAGAGAAGGCCTTTGCAGTGCCCTCCGTCTCTGTGTGTTTCCATGTCTCTTTGCGCCACTTTCCAGTTACTTTTTGCAAGAGTCCAAAAACAGGGGCATGAGCATCGTCGCAGTGACTGTCAACAGCCTCTGTGTGACCATCATCGGCAAAACCCACCCAGTTCATTCTGGGCTCAGATACCCAGTCGTGGCAACAAGACAGTGAATGGGCATTTTCTGTTGTCAATCATGTATTAAATTGGAAGAAAAATCATACTAAGTCTCCTCTCCCAGGCAGCAGGAGAAGTGTGTGCCTGTGC